GGATGCCCTTTATTTCTTTCTCTTGCCTGATTGTCCTGGCCAAGGCTTCCAATACTATGTTGAACAGGAGTGGTGAAAGAGGGCATCCTTGTCTTGTGCTGGTTTTCAATAGGAATGCTTCCAGCTTTTGCCCATTTAGTATGATGTTGACTGTGGGTTTGTCACATATGGCTCTTATCATTTTGAGCTATGTTCCTTCAATACCTAGTTTATTGAGAGTTTTTACCATGAATGGACTTTGAATTTTATTGAAAGCATTTTCTGTATCTATTGAGATAATTGTGTAGTTTTTGTCTTTATTTCTGTTATGGGATGAATCACATTTATTGATTTGCATATCTTGATCCATTCTTGCATTCCAGGGATAAAGCCTACTTGGTCATGGTGGATAAGCTTTTTGATGGGTTGCTGGATTTAGTTTGCCTGTATTTTGTTGAGCATTTTTGTGTTGATGTTCATCAAGGATATCGGCCTGAAGTTTTCTTCTTTTGTTGTTGTATCTCTCCAGGTTTTGGTATCAGGATGATGCTGGCCCCATAGAATGAGTTAGGGAGGAGTGCCTCCTCCTCAATTCTTTGGAATATTTTCAGTAAGAATGCTACCAGCTTTTCTTTGTACATCTGGTAAATTCAGCTATGAATCCATCTGTTTCTGGGCTTTTTTTTTTTTTTTTTTTTTGTAGGTAGTCTATTTATTAATGCCTCAATTGCAGAGTTCATCATTTGTCTGTTCAGGGATTCAATTTCTTCCTAGTTAAGTCTTGAGAGGGTGTATTTGTCAACAAATTTGTCTATTTTGTGTAGATTGTCTAATTTATGTGCATGGAGGTTTTCATAATATTGTATTTATGTGGGGTCAGTGGTAACATCCCTCTGTCGTTTCTGACTAATTCTATTTTCAGTTTATACTCAGACTAATATAAATATAGGAAAAGACAGCACCTAATACTATAAAGCAAAATTATCTAGAATTATCCAATTTGCAAATTTTTGTCTGGGGCTAGCTCATGCTCTTCTAGAAGTCAGTGATGCTTACATTGCCTGCCCCTGTAAATTGGGCAAAAACTTTTATAAATGTTCCTGGTATAGCTGGTGCTTTTCTTTTCTTTTTCTTTTTTCTTTTCTTTTCTTTTCTTTTTTTTTTTTTTTTTTTTTTTTGAGACGGAGTCTCATTCTGTCACTCAGGCTGGAGTGCAGTGACGTGATCTCAGTTCACTGCAACCTCCACCTCCCGGGTCCAAGCGATTCTCCTGCCTCAGCTTCCTGAATAGGTGGGATTACAGGCACCCGCCTCCACACTGGGCTAATTTTTGCATTTTTAGTAGTGATAAGGTTTCACCATGTTGCCCAGGCTGGTCTCGAACTTCTGACCTCAGATGATCCACCCGCCTTGGCCTCCCCAAGTGCTAGGATTATAGGCGTGAGCCACCGCGCCAGGCTAGCTGTTGCTTTTCTATGCATTTAAAAATAGATTATTTCAGTGAAACTCTATTTTCCTGATTTCTACCTTCAAGCCTACGAACCCCACACACGTTAACTAGTAGCACCCATTAATCCCACCGGTTACAGCGTCTTCCAGGTAGCTTTCTCCTAAATTGTATCATTGGGTTAGGCCCTCACTTCCAGCATCTAAGCACTCTAAATGATCACAATGTTGTCTTTGCCACTAGGCTCTGAGCATTTACCTGGTTCACTGATTAGCATAGAGCTTTGAAATTCAGGATTCTGTATTTAGCACACAGCCCTAGACTTCTGCTATGCAGTAAGTATTTATTAAATTTTATAATTCATCCAACTGTTAAAAATAAGAAGATCTATCACTAATACTTCAAAATATTTGAGCTTACCCAGAAAGTAAGTTCCCAGAAATGAAATTTAGCTTTGTTTCCATAATCAGATTTGTGATTCAGGAATAGGCCAGAGAAGTTGGATTGATATTATGCATAAAAACATAAAAAGAGAATCAAAGGGTAAAGAAGATTTCTCTATGGCTCTGTCTTACCTTTTCCATATCACCCAGGCCCTCCGTGTCCAGAAGGACCAGGGTGTGGTTTGACTTAGAGGGGTGGGGCACACACCACATCCAGATGCCTTTGGTTTCAGACTTCACTGTGCAGCCCAGAGGGAAGCCTTCAAGGGAAGAGGAGAAACAACATATAGTGACAGCAGAATCCAGGCAGACAAGGCCTAAACCTGTTAAATGTATAAGAATGTAAGTTTTCGGCAGGGGAAATGGGTTGCTTCCATTTCAGCAAAGAAATCAATCAAATCTTTATTTATATAAACGACTTTCTCAGAAGGTACTTGGGTCCCCTATTCACTTCATATCTAACCATAGGCTCAAATAAGTTATATTACAGAATTAATGTAAACTCTATTAACCTGTTACTATGGTCTGAACATTAATCCCTCCAATCCCCCATTCATACGTTGGAACTTCAGTGAAGTCTGAAACCAAACCCCAAGGTGATGATATTAAGAAGTCAGAAGTGGGGTGGGTGCAATGGCTCACACCTGTAATCCCAACACTTTGGGAGTTTGAGGCAGATAAATCACGAGGTCAGGAGATAGAGACCATCCTGGCCAACATGGTGAAATTTCGTCTCTACTAAAATACAGAAAATTAGCCGGGCATGGTGGTGCGCGCCTGTAGTGCCAGCTACTTGGGAGGCTGAGGCCAGGGAATCACTTGAACTCAGGAGGTGGAGAGATTACAGTGAGCCGAGATTGCGTCACTGCACTCCAGCCTGGCAACAGAGTGAGACTCTGTCTCAAATTAAAAAAGAAGTCAGAAGTGATTAAGTCATGAAAGGTCATGTCCTCAGTAATAAAGTTAATGCCCTTATAAAAGGCCTTGAGGGATGAGTTCATGTCCTTTGCAGGGACACGGATGAAGCTGGAAACCATCATTCTCAGCAAACTAACACAGGAACAGAAAACCAAACACCACATGTTCTCACTCATAAGTGGGGGTCAAACAATGGGAACACATGGACACAGGGAGGGGAACATCACACACCGGGGCCTGTTGGGGGTTGGGGGCTAGGGGAGGGATAGCATTAGAAGAAATGCCTAATGTAGATGACAGGTTGATGGGTGCAGCAAACCACCATGGCACGTGTATACCTATGTAACAAACCTGCATGTTCTGCACATATATCCCTGGACTTAAAGTGTATATATATATATACACACACACACACACACACACACACACACACACACACACACACATATATATATATATATATATATATAAAGACCTTGAGGGAATTTGATTGTTCCTTCTGCCCCTTCTGCCATTTGGGGACAATGGGAAACCCCCTCTGTGAGTAACAAGCCCTCACTAGACATTGAATCACCTTGTGCCTTAATCTTGGACTTCCCAACCTCCAGATCTGTGAGAAATTAGTTTTTATTATTTATAAATTACCCTGTGTAATGTATTTTGTCTTAGTGGCAGACACAGACTAAGACACCTGTGTATTTTTATGCAACGCTCAAGAGGAAGAAAAAAGCATGCATTCATAAGTAAAATTAGGGAGAGGGCTGAGACAAGAGGTCCAAGTGCTGGGCTCATCTTCATGTAGTGACTCTTTTTCCTTATGCAGGTGCCACCTGAACAGAAGGATATCCAAACGGAGGAGATTCTGACATGGAAAGGACAGTATAAAGCATCCACTCTAGTATGGTCTGTTTCCAGGAGTGGAGTAGTGAGAATAAAATCTTGAAATTTAGTTGAGGAATCTGTGATTTGAACTTCTGAGTATGTAGCCAAGTAGACCAGATTTGTTAGTAATGGAACCCATTGAAGTGTTTCACATGGATGATGACAAAAATCAGCAAAATATTTAAGAAAATCCATGAGGTATTAGAATACTGCAGGAATTAAAAAGTTATACCTCAGACTAGTAAAAGAGTTCTAGAATTTTAAAGGCTGAAAGTGTGAAAGTTATCAGCACCAAAATGCCAAACTTGAATGCAATGAAGTCAGCAGACCATGAAGGAAAAGCTCTCGTGCACACTTTCCTGTGATGGGAACTGCCACTGAAGATGTTGCCAATCCACAACCTCGCAACAAAGGCTAATATTCTGAGGACATCTTTCCAGTAATAGCCAGTCTTAACTGTAAACTTCAAGTAGTCTAACTTGCAATCAGAGTCCCTGCAATCAGGGTCCCTTCTGTGAAGACTCTCTCTTAGCAACAGCCAGTACACATATTAAGTCTTGTGAGTAAGCTCCTGTAAACAAATAAACTTTTGTTTCAAAACACCCTGCGTGTACTTCTCCTTTTTATCTTTAAAGTTCCCACTGTCTCAACCAACCTATGATTTATTATAGTGTGCATACCTGAATTGGTATGCATATGGTCCCCTGCTCATTCTTAAATAAACTCATTTCTTTGGAGAGCTACTTTCTCTGTTGTTACTTTAGCTTGACATAATCTGGCATCAGAAGTGGGATCTAAAGTGAGCTCATCTTGGAATGATCAGCAGCCCCTGAAACCATGAGTGGTATTCCCTTGTTGAGCCCTTTGATCTGTTCGTTTCCACATCTGACCTTTTGTACTGTGTTGAGTCTCCCCTTGGGTTAAAATCCCTTCTTTTTGTCTGGTTCAGGATCTTATTTGGATAAGGTCACCTCAATAAAAAGCCTTGAATCCCTTCTTAGCCTAAAAATGACTTTGCTTTTTCTGGCAAGCCCTTTATGAGATAAGAACATTGTCCTTCTGGTGAGTACTCTTTTTTTTTTTTTAACTTCTGCATGCCTGGTTTAATATTTTGTTTGGTCTGCCTGCCTGATTTAAAATTTTGGTGAATTGAGTCTTTTCTTACTTCTAAACATCTGCCAAGAGCAAAAATAAATGTACCAAACAGTAGGCATGGGTTGACCAATTTAAACCAGTTAAGGCAGTGCCATCATTAAGGAGTGACTCCAATCTCTGAAGATGAAGTATTTTGTGTGAAGGTAAACGGGCCATGGATAGGCAAGGTTACCATTAGAGCATCTGCCATACTTAAGAAAATTTCTATTCAACAGGGAAAATGTGGTCATGGGTTGGACAACAAAGGCAATGATTGTCCACCAACTAAAACAAATACCCTGGACCGGGTACATTGTAAAACAAAACACCAGTCCAAACTTCTGACATTCCCAACCAGATTCATAGGATTTTATTTTTTTCTTTTCAGAGATTAATGAGAAACAAAATAAGACACCCAAATTTAAAGGCATGCCAGAATAATCTTTCTTCTGGGACTCTAGCCAGCTGTATTTATGGTCCATCTCATGCACATTTCTCAATTGATGGGGAAATTACACCAAAAGTAATTTAGAATTACAATGGCCATTATGTGGGACATTCCAGATGAACTTTCAAGAACTGCATTTTAAGAAGAGAATTTAAAATTGGAAGGGGTCGGTCTCTGCAGAGCCAGGAGGGGAAGCGATGGCTGGGCCCGGGTGGATCTCCAAGGTCTGTCTGCTGCTGGGGGTATTCCACAACCCAAAACAGGTGACTAGAGGTTTTACTGATGTTGTTCAGCCAGTGACTTTAATTCCAGGAGATGGTATTGCCCCAGAAATTTCAGCTGCAGTTATGAAGATTTTTGATGCTGCCTAAGCACCTATTCAGTGGGAGGAGCGGAACGTCACTGCCATTCAAGGACCTGGAGGAAAGTGGACGATCCCTTTGGAGGCTAAAGAGTCCATGGATAAGAACAAGATGGGCTTGAAAGGCCCATTGAAGACCCCAAAAGCAGCCGGTCACCCATCTATGAATTTGCCGCTGCGCAAAACATTGGAGCTTTACACAAATGTCCGGCCATGTGTCTCTATCTAAGGCTATAAAACCCCTTACACCGATGTAAATATTGTGACCATTCGAGAGAACACAGAAGGAGAATACAGTGGAATTGAGCATGTGATCATTGATGAAGTTGTGCAGAGTATCAAGCTCATCACCGAGGGGGCGAGCAAGCCCATTGCTGAGTTTGCCTTTGAGTATGCCCGGAACAACCACCGGAACAAAGTCACGGCGGTGCACAAAGCCAACATCATGCGGATGTTAGACGGGCTTTTTCTACAAAAATGCAGGGAAGTTGTAGAAAACTGTACAGATATTAAATTTAATGAGATGTACCTTGATACAGTATGTTTGAATATGGTACAAGATTCTTCCCAATTTGATGTTGTTGTTATGCCAAATTTGTATGGAGACATCCTTAGTGACCTGTGGGCAGGATTGATCGGAGGTCTTGGTGTGACGCCAAGTGGCAACATTGGAGCCAATGGGGTTGCAATTTTTGAGTCGATTCATGGGACGGCTCTAGACAGTGCAGGCAAGGACATTGCAGGCAAGGACATGGCGAATCCCAGAGCCCTCCTGCTCAGTTCTGTGATGATGTTGCGCCACATGGGACTTTTTGACCATGCTGCAAGAATTGAGGCCACGTGTTTTGCTACAATTAAAGATGGAAAGAGCTTGACAAAAGATTTGGGAGGCAATGCAAAATGCTCAGACTTCACAGAGGAAATCTGTCGCCGAGTAAAGATTTAGATTAACGCTTCTACAACTGGTATTTGCATCAGTCACTCTAAATGGACCCCACATAAACCTCTGTTTAGAATACCTAGGGATGTATGCTTTGGTTTACTTGTTTCTTGACAATACATTTTTAGATCTGGCCTTTTCTTAACAAAATCTGTGCAAAAGATGCATGCGGGTGGATGTCCCTAGGTCTGTTTTCAAAGAACTTTCTCCAAGTGCTTATTTTGTTTATTAAGTGTCTACCTGCTAAATGTTTTTTTTTTTTTTTTTTGTAAAATCTGAGTGGACTGTATCATTTGCTATTCTAAACCATCTTACACTTAAGTTAAAATAGTTTATCTTCAGCTGTAAATATCAGGATACAGAATTAACAAGAGAAAATGTCAAACTTTTTAAGAAAAACCTTGTTTTCTTTGGTTTTTGAAAAACATAATGGAAATAAAACAGGATATTGATGTAATAGCACAAAATGACACTCTTATAAAACTAAATGGCACAAGAGAAATTTCCTGGGAAAGTTCACATCAAAAAGAGTGAATGTGGTATATTTCTAAATGAAATGGAAAATAGAGACAGATTTGTCCTTCACAGTAGAGTATGAATAAAAACTTCACATCCAAGAAATATATAACGAGAGATATAATTTTTATTAATAAGACAAAGGTAATATATTGGATACAAAGACACGAAAAATGTATTGTGCATTCAATTATTTTGCTGTCTTGAGATTTAATATTCTTTCCAAGAGCTTTTAATGAAGCAGAGAGCTAGTACTTCATTTTCATTGGAGGCATTTTCAGCATCATGAGTTGTCACAGCCTCTGAGCCCCTGAGCCCCTGATTTTAAGCCAGAAGGGCTGAGCGTATTGTAAACTTACTCTTGCATGTTGCTGTCTGGGAATGGACCACACTACAGCTGGTAGTTCTGGGGGCAATACTGCCGAAAGGCCTGAACACATGTTATTTTGGCTGCAATTGAGGAACTCGGGATGATATTAAGTTTGTATTTCAGCAACTGCCCCATCTCCTATCCCAAAGCACCAATTACTGCCCTCTGCCTCAGCATTACCAGTATAAGATGACATTCCAAAGATTGCAGGCAACTCAGCCTGAGTTAATTCACAAAATTGTGCCATGCCGGGACTTGAGCTTGGGCTTAGGCTTGGGCTCAGCTTTAGACCCTCAGGCATCTCCTTTCTCTTCCTGCCTTCCTCTCCCTTATCTTCCACTGCAGCATGATTTTCTTAATCTTCATACACTCACTATTTTCATGAACAGTTACCCTCTGGCCCCACAACCAAACACAACTCATGGCCTCCCTTGGCCCTTGCATAACATTGCGTGGTGGCTCACACCTGTAATCCCCGCATTTTGGGAGGCTGAGGTGGGCGGATCACCTGAGTTCGGGAGTTCAAGAGGAGCCTGACCAACATGGAGAAACTCCGTCTCTACTAAAAACACACACGCAAAAATTAGCCGGGCGTGGTGGCGGGCTCCTGTAATCCCAGGCAGGAGAATCGCTTGAACCCGGGAGGCGGAGGTTGCAGTGAGCCGAGATCGCGCCATTGCATTCCAGTCTGGGCAACAAGAGCGAAACTCAGCCTCAAATTTAAAAAATAATAATAATAAAAACCAAACTGTTGTGGAAACTGCAGTTTACCCCAAATTTAGTCCACAGCCTCCACAGAATTAACAGTTAAAGGCAAATGAAAAATCTCAAAGGTTAGCCATTTGAGCAAGTAACCTTAACTTATTCTATTTTTTCAGAAAAATAGTTTGGATTTAGCTGTCCTTTTACAAACAAGTGAGTTTGAATCTCTATGTTTTACAGTGTTATGACTAAATTTTTTAAAGTGGAAAACCCTGTGATCTTTGCTTGTGTGTGTATTTATGTTTGCATGTTTTGTGTATGTAATAATTTTCTTCCAAGATATGTGAAAGAACTCTAAATTGGCTTACAAGATATGTGAAAGGGCTCTATTTAATTGGCTTAAAGGGTCAACAAAGCAAACGTAAAAGAGTCTCTTGACTATTCTTGCTGTACTTGTATAAATAATCAGGCTTTGTTTGATGAGGTTAAATTTATTCTGAAACAAGCCTTATCTTGGCAAAAACTGCAACGACTAGAGGAGAAAATTTATTATTAAGAAAGGAAAGCTATACTTTATCTGTTATTAGATTGCAGCCCTATGCATTGCTTTTGAGTTTATTATTATTTATCTACAACCTGGACTAAATTTCCAATTCTTCTAGGTTCGTCCAACCCAATTTTCTGGCCTGGAATTGCTAAAATAAAAATCTGCTCTGTTCCTGAAGCTCTATACACTAAAGCTACACAACTCAATGTAAATTTCAAGGGATGAGTCTCATGTCTCGTGTTTGGGCCACACAGAAAGTTCACCGAACCACTCCATGCCATACCCAAAGACATTTAGTGTGTAAACCAGTATGAGAAGTTGATGGTTTCATGCCATGGACAGCTTTTTCTAAGAATGATAGAACAATACTTACAAAAATGAGACTATTATCCTTCTTAAATTTTCTTTGCTTGTGCCTTCTTTTTCATTTGACAGAATAATGCCATAGTTATAATTTCATAATCATCAGCTTCTGTGGGTACCTGATGGAATGTTGGATCTGTCATGCCAATCCCAAATCTTTACATGATCTAAGAGATGCTTTCTTCCATGTAGTGAATAACTTTGGCAATATTCTTAACACAACTTTTTGTTCAAATTGTACCAATGATCCCTTTTTACAGAGTTAGCACTCTCGGCTTTAATTTAACCAAGTCATGAGATACTAAATAATAGAATCACTAACCAAACTATGTAAAAGACTCAATGCCTATACCAAATCTTACTCAGTCCCACATGGTCTTTTAATTTGTTTAATTGAGCTCTTGGTTCAGAACCATCGTCCAAAATGAATTTGTTATGCTCCTGTTGGTTTTGCTTTGCATTATTTTCTTTAAGCTTTGTACCTGTTACCTGTCTGACTTCTGCAGAAATGACACTCCTGAGATAATAATGCTGGCTCAGCACTTAAAGGATATGCCAAAAATGTTGAATTGAAAAAATTGACTTCATAATGAATTCCAGGGAGAATTAGCCTGAAACCCACTCCTTCCAAACATCCTTGTTGCTCAAATGTGGCTAAAAGTGTTTTGAAACTGACTCCCAGTCACCAATCACTTGGGACCGACTTGGGAACAAACCAACTAAATCAAGTGCATCCAAGCACTGAGGAACACATAATGCATAACTACAGGATGATTGATCAGAGATGCTTTCAGAGAAAGATCTTGATCAAAGGGGGAACTGCAAAAGTTGTCAGAAGCAAAATGGAGTCACTTATGCCAAACCCTAACAAAATGGAGTCAGGAGTTCATGAAGGAAGGGCTTTCCTGTACACTTTCTTGTGGTGGAAATTGCCATTAGGACATTGCCAAACTACAACCTTGCAACAAAGGCTACTTCTGTACTTCCAGTAATAGGCAGTCCTAACCACAATCTTGCAAGTGGCCTTACTTGCTGCCATCAGGGTCCCTGCAGTCAGGGTTCTCTCCATAAAACTCTCTCAAGCAGCAGCCAATGCACATGTCCTCACCTGCAATATGATCCTGTAAACCAGTGAACTTTCATTTTACATTAACTGGCATATATGTCTCCTTTTTGTCTTTAAAAGTTTCTCACTGCCTTAACATTTCCAGACGAACTTATGATTTGTTATATGCATTTCCAGAATTTACAAATCCCCTACTTATTCCTGAATATATTCATTTCTTTGGAGAGTGACTATCTGTTGTTATTTTGAGTTGACAGAGGAACTCAAGATATGGTAGTCAAATCATTCATTTCCTGAATGATGAAAATGAAGAGTAGAAATAGTAACTGATTGGCTTAGTTAGAAAGACATACAAACTACACTTTAACATCAGGCTTCTAACTGGTAGCTTGGTGCTTTATAAACCACACTGAGTCCCTGACACTACAGCCTCATGTAAAAGAGAGAAATTATAACCAATAGTGACCTTAATTACAAAAAATAGAGAAATTAGAATATCCAATATGTATTGAAACATTCATTTTATCTTAAAGTTCTGTGGAAACTTGCTATTACTACATAAACATTTTAGTAAATATTTAATAATGCATCATTATTTAATTTTTTATTAATACCTTATTTATATATGAAATGTGAAGATAAAGGCAAAGTGGGAAGAGTCAGTTGACTCTAATCCTCCAGAGTGAATGTAAAGAGTATGCGAATGAATTCAAAGTTAGCTATCAATATTTATCTCCAACACTAACTTTCTTTCATCTCATCTTCAAACTGGACACTGACTGTGTAACTGGACAGATGGGGTTCATCCATGCTTTGCTGGTGCCACTCACCTTTGTTCTTCCCAGCCAGCTTGTTCATCAGGTAGGATTTGCCTGTGCGGTAGAGGCCCACAATTGCCACCACTGCTACAGGCTGTGTAATGGCAGACAGAATCTCCAGAGCTTCTGGATTTACCACCAGATGCCCTTTAGTGTTTTCAATGAGGCATACTGGGCCTGGCATGTGGATCTCTGATGCCATGTTCGGACCGTTCCTTTGTCTGCAAGGAAAAAATGAAGCAGAAAGTAATGTCTGGTCAGTCAATTGAGCTGAATTCTACAATAGGGCATAAATTTTTGTTTATTATTCTTGAGCATTGTTTCTTGTGCATTTCTAAGAAGACCTGTGGCCCTTTAAGGTTGTCCTATAGACAGGGCCACTGGTTGCCTTTTAAAATAACTTAATTTTGAAACAGACTTATAGAAAAGATGCATGATAGGTATGAAGAGTGCCCATATACCATTTCCCTGGCTTCCCCTAATGTTAATATTTTACATAACCATAGAGCAATTACTGAAACCAGGATTTTAACATTATACAATGATAACTAATTTACACTCCTTATTGACATTTCACCAGTTTCCCACTAATGTCCTTCTGCTTCACGATCCAATCCAGGATCCCTCATTGCATTTAGTCATTATGTTTCTGTAGTTTTCTTGCATCTTTGATAGTTCCTTATTCTTTTTTTGTCTTTCATGTCTTTGACATTTTAGAATAGTACTGGCCTTTGATTTTGAGGAATATCCTTCACTTTGGAGTTTTCTGATGTTTCCTCATTGATTGAAGTTATGCATTTTTTTTTTTTTTTGCAAATGTCACAGAAGTGATGTTCTGCCATTTTTGGTGTCTTGTATTAAGAGATTCATGATGTTGACATGACTTTTTCTGGTGCTGCGACCTTCACTTTGATCACTTGGTTAAAGTGCTTGCTGCCAGATTTCAGATTTCTCCACTGTAAAGAGTTTTGTGCCACTTTGTCACTAAAACATTTCCATTTTGAGAAACAGTTTGGAGACTATGCAAATACAATCTCATCATACTTTGTTGTTGTTGTTGTTGTTGTTGTTTTTTCAGCCACTACTTTTAGTTTTTATTGACGATTCTTTTTGTAGTGTTTGACTAAATAGATTTTTTATTATAGTCATTCTTTCTATATTTATTAACTGGCGTTCTACCATGAGCAAGGGCTGTTCCTTCTTTATTTATTTTGTTTGCTCATTTAATCATTTACTTGTATCA